AAGCCTGTTTTACTTTCCTCAGTTTTATATAATAGGCATAATAAGATCCCATAGATAGCTGTGACAGCTAAGGAATAAAATGCATTGTCAGATTTCTATGACTTTCAGACACATAATCCTACCAATTTATTTACTCTGAGATTTTATCATTTCATAATGAAGGCTCTAAATCAAATGTCACATTATTTCTCGATTACTAGGGTATAACGGTACATGAGTGCTAGAAAAGTGCAGAGTCCCTTCAACCAAATGCGGTTGTTATCTTCTCTTAGCTTTAAGGATATTGAAAACCTAGGTGACGTATCTTACATTTCTGCCCCTGGTGGTGAGTAAATTGAAACCAAGTATGTCTTTCAAAACTAACTTTGTGAGTCTAAATTCTTAAATATTTATTCTGATTTATTGCTTATTTTTCATTGTTAGCATTATTTAGAATAATTTTTTAAAAATTAAATCTGTAGTTTGGCACCTTACCAACTTTTTTTCAGGAACCAAACATTGATTGGCAAGACCCATTTCTAAGATTTTCTAAAGAAAACACTATACGAAAACGCATGCGAAGAATCTTCTTACCTAGTTATAGAAATAAACTACCTTTCAGTCGCTATAATTATTTGCCTTAGACCCAAGAGAAAGGCACTCTTTGGGGGAACTCATGAAGAAAATAGGACAATGGGAGGGAAGGCTTCTATGTACATACATTGTTGATTAGAGGATTCTCCTGTCTCCTTATATTTAGATCATCTCTTTGTTCTTACATGCAAACTTAAGGACTGAAAGGGATCTGGTATTTGGTAATTCAATACCTGACATACAATATTCTTTTTCCCTGTGATAAAGCATATTACAATGCATATTATATATTTCTTTTCCCACAGGATGGGTTTTAGAGATTTCAAGTTTGAATTCCAGAGTGAAGAGTCATATGTTTACGGGAGGGGGGAGAGGCATTGGAAGGAGAAAGGAAGGTACCTTGAACCTTGGTTTATGATTCAAGGTCTGGTGGGAACATTTTTTTAAATTGTAGGTGCTATTTCCTGCGATCAAGGCTTTTTAGAGTTTGAGAGTTTGATAATCATTTCCCAGCTGTATTACTTTGGTAAACTGTTTTTAGCTTTGGAGACACACACACGCGCACACACACACACACACACACATATGAGAGCAAGAGGATCATATTCATCTTGCTGATAGAAAACAGGGAATATAACTCCCACAGCTTCTCCCTGCTTTTTCTTTGCCTTGAGGAAAAGTTTGGCTTTGTATTATTAAAGTGTGAAGAAAAAAAAAAAGCCTTGACTGTTGTATGTCAGGCATATTTTAGCTCGATTTGTGTCAACCCTAATAAGTCAGTTGACAGAATAATAAATTGGGTGTCTGCTCAAGATTTGGCACCTGTACAGGAAATAAAAAAGCAGTTCACTTGTAGGCAGGTTCACTTTATTTTACAAATGGAAGTTTTTCCAGAGACCTTCTTTCTTTTATTGAAGTCTGAATATCTTAGTGCCTCTTATAACTAGACGTGATAAGGGAGATAGGAACATAATATGTATATATATATACCGAATTGTTGAGCTTGTTAAGGAGAAGTTGATTGTGCTTACTGTGTTCAGGGATTTATCCTCAATATGTGCTGTCTGGCTTTCCGTAACATCTCTCGATGTTAATCTATTGATGGATTGAATGAATTAATGAATGCATTTGCTTTGACACCACAAATACAGCTTACATTACAAGCTACAGATTATTTCAAGTTTCTGTTGCATTTTCTAAGCTTTAATTTTTCTTTCCCTTTTTTTTGTAGCAATTTTTTTCAACTGGGGCCAAGTCCCCACTTCCCCACCTCCCAGCGGACATTTAGCAATGCCTGGAGACAGTTTTGTTGTCACAGCTGGAAGAGGCAATGGTGCTACTGGTGTTTAGTAGACAGAGCAGAAGTCAGGGGTGTGCTAAACATTTTAGAATGTACAGGGCAAGCCCATACCACAAAGGACTATCTGGTCCATTGTGGGAATAGTGACACGGTTGTGGAGCCCTGCTCTAAATATGTTCAAATTGTCAACCGAGTTAACAAGCTAGAATATGAAATCTGTTTCATCTTCCTATTTTAACAAATATCTCTTGATAATAACTTAGAAGGAGGGTTTTATAATTGAAGTTTCTTGGTTCCTTGAAATTTCAGAATAATATAGGAACCTCAGCACATTGCCTTTCCTTCCATGAGAGACTCACACATGTGTGTAAACATCACAGACTACTTTTCCAAGCTCTGTCTACATGTGTAAATGCAAACACAACCACCTTTTGTGTCAGTCCTAGGAGTCTGCACTTCTGTAGAGATCTAAACTCATGAAACCATAAGTAGAAAGGAGACCCACACAGATCCTCAAGGGCACTGAGGCAAGGGGCTCAGAGATTTCTACAAGATGGCCTGTATCTTTGTAGGCATCTGGGGTGAGCTAGTCTTTTGACTACATCCAGGAAAGGGGCTTGGGTGAGCAGTTCTGAAAAGACTTGCTTTTCTAAATGTCAGACAGACTGCTTCTCCCAACTATGCAATTATGAATTGAAAGTTGAGTTTTAACATGTGACACTATGAAATCTACTCAGCCTTGTAAGCCTTTACCATTTCTATTAGGGAACAGAAGTAGTCTAGACTTTCATTTTACGTAGTAGCTGACTTGAATATAATAATTTTATTAAGATGAGAGCAAAATTAAAGGCTCATTTACCTTCAAGATCCAGTAGTATGCAAATTCAAAGACACTAAGTTTGTGATTAAACAAAACAAAACAAAAACAACAAAAGGCAAACTTAAAATTGATTGACTCATAGGCTATACTCAACAGGAATAAATTCATAGTTGATTCTCCAGTAAATTTCCAAGGTTGCACATCGCATAGGAAAAGTTTCTCCATCTTTCTTCCATGGAGTCATGGTGAATTTGATCTGACAGAGAGAGGCATATGCTTTGATGAATTTTAAAGATAGACTAATTTTGATCTGTTTCAAATTTTATCTGAAATTGGAGTATTTAGTCATTTCCTCTTTTAAATCACAAACCTCGTGGTTTATTAAAAATTATCTGTCAGGTAGAATTATCAATACTTTTATATATTAATGATAAAGGTAGGAAGGGGAAAAAAAATCAACAAGTAGGTTTACCAAAAAGAAAAATTTATTTTCTTTACTTTTAATGCTGATCCTAGAATATTTAAAAGAAAAAATAATTAAATTTCAGAATACTGAATCACATTATGCTGGGTTTTATGAGGAGGAATGTGACATCAAGATTGGCGGAAGACTCATCAACAACCTGTGGTATGCAGATAATACAACCTTGCTTGCTGGAACTGAAGACGACCTGAAGTGCTTACTGTAGAAAATCAAGGGCTATAGTCTTCAATATGAGTTGAAGCTCAACATCAAGAAAACAAAGATTCTCATCACTAGGCCAGTTGGTAGAACCATGGTAGGTGGAGAAGAGATTGAGGTTGTAAATAATTTCAGCTTGTCTGGGTCCACAATCGACACTACTGGCACCAGTACTCAGGAAAGAAAAAGAATAACACTGGGTAAATCTGCTATTAGGGACTTTTCCAGAGTACTGAGAAGCAACAATGTCAGTCTAGAGATTAAGATGCACCTGATTCAAGCCATGGTCTCCAATTATTTGAGATCGAAGAGCTGGACAATGACTAAGGATGGCAAAAGAATTGATGCCTTTGAGTTGTGGTGCTGAAGAAGCATATTGAACAGTCCATGTACTGCTAAGAAAACAAATTGGTTTGTCTTGGAGAAGAGGAAACCACATTTCTCCTTAAAGGCTAGGATTTTGAAGCTGCTTTGGGCACATGGCCAGGAGGGACCAGTCCTTGGAGAAGGACATCATACTCAGCAGAATGGAGGGATTGCACAGGAGAGGAAGACTCTGAACGGAATGGATTGACTCATTAACTGGGGTACATGGGGTAGGTGTCTCAGAGTCAGTGAGACTATCTCAAGACAGAACAGGCTTCAGAGCTGTTGTACATAGGGTTGCTATGAGTCCCAGGTGTCTTGACAGCACATAACAACAACAGGAATATATACTTTATTTCTAAGAGAAAAATTTTCCTTCATATCTTAAACACTAATTACAGAATCTTGAAGAAATATTGAAATGTTAAGAAAGTCCAACAACATTCAATCTTATTCATAACATATAAAAGACATTAAGAGTGTGTGTGTGTCTGTGTGTGTGTGTGTGTGTGTGTAAGAGAGAGAGGGAGGGAGGGAGGAAAGAAGGAGAGAGGGAGAGGAGGAGAAAGAATAGCATTAGACAGAAACAACTTAAATTTGAAAACATTTTTAAGGGTTTGAATGTTAAATGTCTTTATCTTCTGCTTCCTCTTTTCCTCTCTCTCCCTCACTCCTTTTCTTCCTCACTCCTCTCCATCATTTCTCTTTCACCTAGAGGTTAGAAGATGAATTACAATCTTAAACACAGCCAGTTCAAATCCACCAGCTGCTCCACTGGGAGAAGAAGGGTGGGCAGTCTTCTCCTGTGTGATCAACTACCTTTGAAAACCAGCTGGAATATCACCTATGAGTTGGTTCCAACTCTAATGTAAACAACACTCTTCACAGCAAATTTTCAATCTCCTTTAAAAACATACTACCAACATTTTTCCATCTTCTGTATATTCCTCATAAGAACCATAATTGTATTCTTCAGTAAAATTTCTTAAAAGTAATCATAGAGACAAAGTCTCCTAAATGCAGTGAAGTTAACAGCATAGACATCTAACAAGCATGGTGACTATAAAGCAAAAAGAAATGCCCTGTGGATCATTTTGATAACAAGGCAACTGAGCAGCATGAAATCAAATAGAAGTGAGAAATTTTTTCATTTGTTCACATATGATAAATTAATTTAAAAAAATAGTCTATTTAAAATGTTGCCATGTGGTTTTACATCTAAAATTGGCATAATCTATTTCCAAATTTTATTTTTCCAGTCTGTTTTTCAGGAGCATTGAACTGACCAGTTACATTTATGTCTGGGAAAATTATAGACTCCTTAGTTTGCCTTGGGATTCCCCATGGACTTGGTACTTGACCTTCTTAGGAGTTGACTTTGGCTACTACTGGTTCCATCGCATGGCTCATGGTAAGTTACAAATAAAGACCTTACAGATAATTTATTTGTGACACATAGTAGGTGTTCAGTGAATATTTGTTGAATTAATTACCAAATGAATAAAATAGTGTATTGTAAAGCACATTAAAAAGGATGAAAACTTCTTATTCTTATGATGACAATACTTGATAGAGTCTACATCCTCACACAGTACTAAACTACATATCAAAATTATCTACAGTGGCATAGACAAATTCTACAACAGCAGGTTTCCTAGATAACAAGTGTGCAGTACAACGAATGCCTTTATGTGGAGTGTTGCCTTGGTTCTTTGGAAAAACCATTCGGAAAATTCCCCCATTTGCCCTGAGGAGTTGTTACCTTTGCCTTAGTTCTTTGCAGAAACAATTTGTGGAACCTTTCAGGCTGCTTTTACCCTATTGTTACTTTTCTTGGGTGGGGTGGGGGGAGCCAGTGTCTGCCAGCAGAACACGCTCCTTTTCTGTTACAAGACCTGAGTTTATTGGCATGTCATGAATAATTGAGAGTTATTTGTTCTTTGTATAATCAGCCTTCTGATTGCTGAGGACTGGTATATACACAGGGATGAAATGTAGAGATATTCAAGTCTTTGGTGGAAGAAGCAAGAAGGGGAGCATGCCTTTTGGAACATAGTGGCCCCTTTTCAGGTAAAAGGCTCTAAGTGGGAGAGCTGGCAACTAAATTTGAAATAGCACCATTGGGAACACAATGATACTGAATCTGGTACACTGGTTGGACTGGGCCAGTTAGCAGAGGTGAGGACAACAGTATATAGCATGGCAGTTGAGTCCCTATTTTCATGGAGAAGACCTGTAGATCAGTAGAGACCTGATGCCAGAGGCATTTGATGGGGAGGAGTGGCTGAGAGAACTAAGCACATTATTAATTTGGCTATAAACTGGTCGCATCAGCAGCAGAGGTGTCGATGCTATGGCACAGAGCTAATGGTGGAGTTACCTGGTGGCAAAAAGGCCCAGCAGCAAGAGCAGTTGAGAGAGAGAGCTGAACAGACTAAAGCTAAGAGTGTCTGTGCTGGGCATGAGTGAGACCATTTAGCAGTGGAAAGGCCAATAGTATAGAGACCAATGACATAGGGGCCTGACTTAGTGGAAATACAGAGGGAGCTGAGTACATTTATAGTTAGTGGCAGAGACACAAACGGCAAAGAAGTCAATGGCACATAGGTTGATAGCAAAGGACGCAATGACAGAGCTGAATGGGCTGCTATGCTCATTTTTGAGCTGGACTAGGTAGTGGCACTAGAGGTCAGGAAATCAAGAGATAAATTGCTCTGGGGAAAGCTGCTATCAGGGACCTCTCAAAAGTGCTGAAGAACAACAATGTCAGTCTGGAGATTAAGATACTCCTGATTCAGGCCTTTGAGTTGTGTGGGTGCTAGAGAAGAGTCTTGAACATACCATAGAATTCCAGAACAAGTCTGTCCTGGAAAGGGTGAAACTAATCTGCACCTTTGAGGCAACGATTTTGAACCTCCATTTCATATATTTTGGCATGTAGCCAGGAAGGACCAGTCTTTGGAGAAAGATATCATGCTTGAAAGGGTGGAGGGACAGCACAGGAGAGAAAGAGCCTGGATCAGATGGATTGACACAGTACTAGGGTAATGAGTGTAAGTGTGGTATGACAGAGGTTAGTGCAGGATAGAACAGGGTTCAGAGCTATTGTGAGAAGGGTTGCTTTGAGTTGAACTCAACTTGAAAGAACATAGCAAGAAGAAGAAGAAGGTAGTAGCTAAGAGGCTGATAGCAGAGTATCTCATGGTGGGGAGTCTGATAAGAGTGACATGCCACCCATTAAGGAAGACAAGCGTGTTGGTATTGGCTGGCAACAGTCTTAGAATTCTTCCATGGAGGACTTTTCAGCCTCACAGGCCTTTCTTGCTCTGAGAGATGTGCTAGTCAGAAGCCATCCTGCACTGTAGTGATGCTCTCTGTGCGTATGGAATTCTTCCACACTTGTCCATGTGCTTCCTGATGCAGGCACCGAGGTATCCCTGTCACTTCTGTGTTGGTTCTGATCTTTAGTTGTAGCCCTTTACTTCTCTAATGAACTGTGTAACTATGGAAATGACCTAGGAGTTCTCCACAGGCATTGCAGTGAGGTTTCCAGTCCTGAGAACACTTTGAGAGTAGTACCAAAGAGCTTAATTAGTGGAGGTGGAGGTGAGAAACTAGTGTCTGAGAAAGAGTAGGAGAGAAAAGGCAGAGATTTACTTGATTTCCACCTCACAGGAACCAACCATATTGATTCCTCATTAATTTAGGCAGTTTGTTAAAGTTTCTTAAAGTGTGTTGTAATATGTAAACTTGATTTATGTGTTTGGCAGTACATTCACATTACACATGGAAAGGACACCAGCTCGGCACTAAGTAGAATGTACTTCAATATAACCATAATTTTACAAAATTTCTCACTTGGTACAAAAACCTCTCACTGCACTGGCTAACTGAATTTGGTTTTTGAGATTCGTGACTATACCTTCCTAAGAAATGTTTCAGAAAGAGAAATGTAAGAGCAAGACATAGCTTCTAATGTCTGTAGAGAGAAGTAAAGGTTAGAAAATGATTGTGGAACTAAAGATAAATCACTGATGTCTGAAGAGGAGTAAGGCATGCCAGAGTATTTCTGAAGGAATGTTGGGAAGGGTAATGACTTTCAAAAAATAATGAATAGTAGAACTCAGTATTTCAGGGGGTGGGTGGTTCGAGCAGGTGGGAAGGAAGGAAGAGGACTGAAAACTGGAATAATAAAATATAGATGAGTGATGGAAAGGAGAAGAGATCTGTGATCAGGGTGAATAAGTGAGCTGTGTGTGTAAGTGTATTTAGGACCAAATGTCCTTCCATGTAAGGATGAAGGAAATAGAAGCAGAGCCCATAAATGTTACAATTCAGACAACTAAACTTTAAATCAATTGCATAATTTTTTTCTGTTTAACACTGTAAACATTCACATTTAATAAAATTTTATAGATCTATTAATTCATTAAAGTAACTTCAGGTAAATATAAGAGCTATAAAAATTGTTATAACCTTTGTTTTGAAAAGAATAATGACAAAATTTCCTTGAATATGCTAATTTTCTAAGTAAGTATGATTAAGAATAAAATATGACCTAGAAGTAAATTATTTAGGAAACTCTGGTGACCGATTGATAAGAAACTAAGCTTCCAACACAAAGGTAGGCAATTCGAATCCATTGAGATGGGCCATTTCCTACTGTGTGGTTTACTGCCTCTTAAAACCTGATAGTCAGCTATGAGTCAGTCCTGACTCTAGGGTATATATAACAACAACAACAATAGTAAACTACTTTTTTAAATGGCAGTTTCTTCCTAAAAGAAATTCACTCAGTGCTGTAGAGTTGATTCCACCTCATATCTACCTTCCAATGAGTTTCTGAGACTGTTTACCTTTGTGGGAAGAAACTGTTTCTCCCTCCAAGTTGCTGATGTATTCAAGCTACTGGAGATGAATATTGGAGGGTAACATACTGTGGACTATGCCTCCAGAGCTCTATGTGCTGTTGCTTCTTACTTTTCCCCATGACTTTTCACCTGCTCCCAATCCTCAGAGAAGTTCTCATTCAAGACCTTATGGGAGACATTGGCATTTTTTTCCAACTTGTCCATAAACTATATTATTTTTGCACTACATCAATCATCTTGATCTGAATGTAAATATATAAAACATAAGAATTTCATAAATAAACAAGAAACATAAACACATATATGTAAATAAAGCTAGGCATATAGGAGTATATGTAGTCAAAATATATGTGTAATAATAAAATATGTCTAGTTATAGTGAAGAATTGCACTGCCAACCCAAAAGTACATGGTTCAAATCCACCAGCTGCTCCATGGGAGAAGGATAGGCAGTTCCCTTCTGTGCGATTTGCTGCCCATTTTTTTTTTTAATTGGGTTATTAGTCTTTTTCTTGTGGAAGCCCTTTAGTTTTCTGCAAATTTTACTGTTGAGTTTATCATAACTTAACTGAAATGTTGTTGCCAAATATTTTTCCCTGTCGATGGGCTTTCTTTTCACCATATTGGAGATTTTTGATGCACTCAGGAATGTGGTTTTAAGGAGGTTCCATTTGTTGATTTTTTCCTCTCCTTGTTGTACATTTTGGGGGCTATGTGTGTAAGCCTCTTTATGCCATTGCCTACGCCTTCTAAATTTATTCCTATTTTGTCTCTTTTGATTGTTAGAGTTTTGAGTTTCACCCAAACTTTGAGTTTATTTTTGTGATGTGGATTCTGTTTCAGTTTTGTGGAGGTAGATGCCCAGTTTTACCAGCACCATTTGTTAAGAGGCTGTTGTAGCCCCTTTTAATGGGTTTTCTTTCTTTGTCATATATCAGTTCACTGTAGGTAAGTGGGCTGATTTCTAGTTTCTTGATTCTATTCCATTGCTCTATATGTTTGTCATTATACCAATACCATGTTGTTTCAATTACTACAGCTGTGTAGTAGGGGAGCTCTGATGGCCTAGTGGCAAGCAGCTGTGCTGCAGTCCTGCAGGCACATGGTTTGAAACCACCAGTTGCTCCACAGGAGAAGGACAGGCAGTTTCTTGCCATGTAATTAACTACTATGAAACCTTCCAGAAGGTCAAGTATGGGTTGGTTCCAACTCAAGGGTACACAACCACAACCACAACAATGTAGTATGTTTTAATATCAGAGAGTGGTGGATCCTACTTCATATTTGTTTTTCAGGAGAGCTTTGCTTATTCAGGGTCTCTTTATTTTTTTCAAATGAAACTGGAAATGGCCTTTTCTAGCTCATGAAAATGAGTTCGTACACAATCCCCCCCGCACCTCCCCAAACCCCACCCCTTACCCCCAAATATAATCCACTCTACAACCTGCATTGCGTACTCCTACGATAAAAATAATGCCCTAAAATATAATACTTTTAGACTATTCTCTCCCCCATAGACTTCAATGCCGTAAACATATTT